CCTTTCCTGGTGGCTGGCCATTCTTACCCCAAACCAGGATGCCGTTGCCTCTGTTAGTCTTAAGTTGCGGACCAGAGATTTTTCCAAAGCAGGGATGACCGGGGAGGTGTAGACTAAAGCAAAACCAAAACTAAAGTTCCCAAGCACAGCAGCGAAGGTGGCAAGGAAGAGCCGATGGTTTTTAAGAGTCCTGGAAAGGAAAGGGAGAGAGAAGAGAACAATTATGAAATGACTAATGTGGTCCATCACGGATGTTGATGGCAAGAGAGTTCCTGTATTTTTATGAGTTTGGTGGAACATAGGAAGAGCCCGGCTGGATCAGGTCAAAATTGGGTGGCCAAGGCAGCCATTGGCAGCATGCCCCTACCAGGCTGTCAGGCTCCTAGCAACTTGCCCAGGGTTGCCAGGTACTGGTTCTATCATTGAGTGGAGCCTTTCTCTTTTGCAGCCCCATCTTATCGTCCTAAACTCCATGCACCTGCCCTCCATGCAGGCTGAATCCAACCCTCCAAGTCTCTCTGTATGGCCCCCTGAACTTTCTCCAGGCTTCGCACTGCTTCTAAGCCACACCCTCTTTTAGTGCTTTTTCTTGGCTGAAATGTGTCCTTGAACTCTTATGTGTTAAGTATACTTGTTTCATTGACACTGAAATGGTGAATGCCTGTATGTATATTACTAAGGGTTGAAGTGGAAATTTCCGAAACTAAAGAAGAGCAACAGGAGCTTTCTGCTCTCTAGCAGGTTGATGATTAACTGTTGATGTCTTCTGGTTTGTCTCGTGACTGACTTAGATCACATGAAAGAGATAGACTGATCTTTTATGCATATGTTAATCTGCGGGGGTCTCTGTTTTGTGTGAGTTGAGTTCTCAAGCAGCCAATAACAAAGGATGTGATAATGAGGTCTCTCCTAAAGGGAAAACAGCTCCAGGCTGTAATGGAGGTTGTGGGAGAGACAGACACTTGGTTTCATATTTTATAAGAAGCCCAACCTGTGTTGGGACATGCACATGACTGTAAGGAATTGTTTTGGATGTATCATTAATGTTTTTGTACCTGTTTTGAATGAAGATCTGGTTAGTAAAGCTTTGAACAATACTTATGGGTCTGGGCAGCGTTTTTCCCCAAGAGGAGTTAGTTTTAATGCATCCAATTGCTTCAAGCTGCACAATATTAATATCTGCAATATTATCATGCTTCTTGCTTTACATGTGTTACTTCACCCGCTTTTCCCTCTGGCAAATCTGGCCATTGCTGGCATGTAACCCTTGCCAGAACTGAATGTCTTGCCTCAGGCTGAAAATGTTTTCTCCCACTCCTGGGTCACAGAAACACGAACAACACATTATCAAAGTACATGATGTTTTGTACAGGAACCATAAGCTAAACTGTCAGCTCCCTAGCCTCCACCACCAAGAATCCTGGGACCTGTAGTTTTCCCTCCACAGAGGCACAATTCCCAACACCCATTCAAACTACAGTACCCAGGATTCTTTGGGGGAGGGTGAGCCATGTGCTTTAAACATGCATTAGATATGCTTTAAAAGTATGGTGTGGATCTGGTGCGGGATGAGGACCAGCAGCTTAAGCCAAAAGTATTCCAGGAAAGTGGGATTTAAGGGGGAAGAGTTATAAGCAAGAAAGGTGTGCTTCTAGGCATGAGAAGGGAAAAAAGGGAGATGAAATTAGCAGAGCTGTCTTAAGAGAGGCAGAAACTGTACCTGTAATATTCTTGCTCCGCCTGCTGAGCATCTTTCTCCTTCAAGCTTTGATAATCTTCTCTAGGCTCCCTGCAGAGGAGCGGCTCTTTGCTGCGGGGATCCAGGGTGGCTCAAGGTGTGCCTTTCCCTCTCAGAGAGAGATGGAGATGCAGCTGGAGGGCACAGAGCTGTTTGCCCAGTTGTTCCCCCTCCCTCTGCACCCTGAGATGCTGCTTGCCTTCCAGCAAACCTTCCTTCCCCAAATGGGCAAGGAAAAAGCAGAAAAGGCAAAAATAATAGTAACCGTAGAAGAGACACCAAATGAAGTGTGCTATGGGGGGGGGGGATCTCTGTTCTGGTTGGTCTAGCAGCAGACCAAAAAGAGGAAGTCAGGGAGGATAAGCAAACAGGGTGTAGAAATAAGATAACAGAGGAGGTATCATGCTTGAGCTGGATGACAAAGATAGGCAAATCAGATGGGTGGGATACAAATAATAAAACGATCATTATTATTGTCATTATCCTTGTTATGTTAGAAGAGAATCTAGTTCCCTGGGGCTGTGTACATGCCATACATTTAAAACACACATCTCCAAAGGATCCTGGCAATTCCAGTTGACTCCTCACAGAGCAACTAATTCCCAGCAGCCATAACAATGATGGGGGGATGTGATGCATGCTGTGTATGCAGTGTTTGTCCTCCCCCAATAGGTCTCTCCCCCAAGGTCAACTGGGGGAGGCTGCACCCTGCAGCTAAGCCCCTCCCACCACCTTCCCTCAGTTCCACCCACCCACCCTGTTCCACCCTAACCTATGGGCATTCCAGTATCTGTGGCAAAAAATCTTATCACATGCTGGATCCGTGACAGGAATTTTCCCAAGTACAAGACCCCTTAAAGATTCCCACCCAGATGCTGCCTAAACAATTTCGCCAAAGAAGAGCCCATGACCCTTCCCAAGGAAGGTCTATTCTACTATCAAGCAGCTCCTTCTGTTAGGAAATCTCTCCTAAGGTTCATTGTGAATGAGCAAAGCTTGACATAGGTCTGAACCCAGTTTGTTCTGCAAGTAACTTGTGCCCATAATTTTAAGTGGGTCCACTCTGTGTAGGGCTAGTATTGAATACAACCCAATGCTTTTTAATAGTGACACAACAGGCTATCATTCAGTAGGTGATGTATCTGTTTTTTACTAACCCACTGGTGGTCTCCCCCACTCAATTGCCACAAAGCCTTGAAGGAGGATGAAAGCTGTCCACAGGATCAGCCCAGCCATTTGACTGTAGCATCTATATTTTCTGGGGATTGGGAGACCTGTGGCCCTCCAGATGTTGGTGGGCTCCAGTTCCCATCATCCCTGATCTTCAGCAATGCTGGCTGGGACTAATGGGAACTGGAGTCCAACATCTATACACCGGGCCACTGAGGTTCTCCATTCCTCACAGATATACTGCAGCCACATATACTGGGATCACATCACATGAAAACAGCAAGCCATGTGTATGTGAGAAACTAAGAAGTCTTAGGGGCATTAGAACCGCCAACCTTTTTCTTACCAGCTTTACTCTTGTGCTATCTTTTTAACTGGCCAAAAGCCCTCGGTCTTCCTGAACTGCTGTGTGCTGGAAGTGGGGGAAACCACAGGCTGCATTTCCCCCACCTCTCCTTGGAATAGCTCAACCTGTTGAATTTTTGCTTGGTGCGCAGGTGTTGCAGGCGATCGACTTAAAACAGGGCATAGGGAACCCTTAAGGGTGGTTCATTCTGGGAATCTCCACTTTCAGTGGAAACAGCCAGCTTGCTTTTGCTTTCCAAAAGAAGCAGTGCAAACATTATTGCATAGTTACTGGTTAGGACTTGCCAAACCTTTGCTAATTTGCGTGGCTTGCCTGGCGGCTTCACTACATACTTTTAGGCACCATGCAAAAAGCTTTCTTTTTAGCCGGGCTTATTAACATTCCATGTTCTTTTAAATGTGTTTGGTTGAATGGGGTTATTGGCTTGTTTGTTTGTTTTTTGTTCCTGCTTTTATTATGTGAACTGCCCTGTGATCTTTGGATGAAGGGTGATATGGAAATTTAATAAATATCAATAATTATAATAGTTCAGCTACTGTGCTGTCTTTGAATCTTATCCACTGCACTTTTTTGGGGGGGGGGCTTTAACACAAAGGCATGGGAAACCTGTGGCCTTAGAGAGGTTGATGGTTCCTATCTCCCTTAGCCAGCATAACCTGTGACTAGGACTGGGGGAGAAGTTAGTTTCTGCACATTTAAAGATGAATCTATCTGATTTGAACTTTCCAAAACCATGTGCAGATCAAAACACAGTCTCCCTTCTCGGAATTTTGCAAGCCAGATCTCCAGTCATGTATTGTGTACAGAATTCTATATATTGGCTTGAAGTGTGCATAAAGATGTCTATATTACTGGAAACAAGATACAAAGATGTTGGGGAAATTGCTTTGCAAGAATATGTATATCAGGCAAAATTGCATAGCAAACTGTTTATATTAGGAATAATTTGCATCAAAAGGCTGCTGAATTTTCAGGAGGACTTAAAAATAAATAAATCGCAAACCAATGTGGAAAGGGGGGGAATGAGAAACAAAAATTGATAGGTTTGCCCATCCATACCTGCTAGTAACAATTTGTGGAGGGAGGTTTTGAGCATGTCCAGAGCGCATCTCTCAATCCACAGAGCAGCAGGAATTTGCCATTAGGATTGCTAGTTCCTCTTTTCTAAATGGCAGCATCATATATTGTATATGCTGGAGGCTTTGTTGTCATGCTGGGAAATGTTTCATGCCCTAATTTTTTGTTTATAACACATTTAATTTTTTTGCACAGGAACACAGTAGTAGGGGGACTCACAGTGTATAATAGGTTGCATGTAGGGACTTAGCTGTAGTGTATTCAGTTGCATGTATCTTAGTAGCAGAGTACATGTCTCACATTTGAAAAGGTGCTAGGTTAAATCCTCAGCATCTCCAGGTCGGGATAAGAGAGATTCCTGCTCAAAACCCAGGAGAATCTCTGCTAATCAGTGTGGATCTAGATGGAACAATAGGCCTGAATTACTGTAAGGCAGCTTCTGATGTTGCTGGGATGAGATCAAGCCAGGTGTGACTTCTCTGCAGAACCTATACAAATGAATTCAGCCCTGGCTTGTACGCACTCATTATGCCTTACGCCCAAAACGAAGACGTACTAGCTTTAGGACCTGGGGAAAACTGTGCCTTGGAGGGAGGAGATCTTCTGTTAGTTGCATACCTGTGATAACATCTACCTGTATGCAGATGAGAGGTGTCTGCAGGGAAGTTGGCGATGCCAAGCAACTTTAAATGCAACAAGGGAACCTTTCCGTGGGGGAGTGGAGTGTACCCCATTTGTACATGGAAAGGGTTGTAAGTATTTGCTCCTTTTCAAGACTTGTTCTCCTTGGTTCTATAATAACTTTTTTGGGGAGAGGTGGTTGGGAACGAACCATTTTATGTTTCTTGCAAATCTAGAAAGTGCCAGGAATCTGAGAACTTTTGCCAACTTTTGCGCATACAGCAAAGCATGAAGTAAAGGAGAGTCTAAACATCTCAAGAATGAAGACAAGAGGTGATCCCAAATATTTTCAGTAAATAAAACCAGACATCATTTTTGGGATGGTGGGCAGATAAGGTTATCAGGTTTTGCACAAGCGCCTGTAGCTATGCTTTTAATGGGCATTGTCTGAGCTGCAGCCAGAGGAACATCAGAAGCTGCCTCAGTCCGAGCCAGACAATTGGTTTATCTAGCTTGCCTTGTCTACTCTGACCAGCAGAAGCTCTCCAGAGCCTCGTTTGGGTGGGGTGGGGTGGGGGGTCTCTCAGCTCTACCTGGATATGCCATTGGAGATTTAACCTGGCACCTTCCGCATGCAAAGCAGATGCTCTACCACTGAGCTATGGTGCTTTCCAGGAACACAGGATACCTGCTTTAGCCCAAGTACTGATCGACAGCAGCAATCCAGAGTTTTAGGCAGAGGTGTCTCCCAGCCCTACCTGAGGTCCCACGAACTGAACCTGGGACTTCCTACATGCAAAATGGTGATGCTCTTCTGCTAAGCTACAGCCCCTCCCAATAAGATGGCTAGACGAATATTGTTAAGAGTTGGGTCAGAGGGAGACCCCCCCCCTAAACCCAAGAAATTAATTAAGCTAGCTAATGTCTGGGATAGGAATGGGAAATGCAGGCTACAGAACTGTGTCAGAAAAGGAATCCATGGGCCAGCTTATGCAAACCAGTCTGGCCTGGCTGGTTGACTGCAAACCATTATGAAACGGTGGCCAGGTACTATACATCAAAGAAGGTTCTCAGGTCTGTGCAAAACAGGAGTGACAGGGAGGGGGCGCTGAGGTGACAGGGGAAAGTATAATTTCACAGGAGGCTTGGGGTTTTGGCAAGAGGCGTGCCAGGAAGGAGAGCAAAGGCTAGTTCTCCATGAGCTGATGGGAAGGCCAGAACTTTATGGGGGGGTGGGGGGTGTAGAGGTCAGAACCACTTTGGCACTGGCTGGAGGAGGCTGTACCAGGAGCCATGACTGGCTGCTGTTTGGGACCCAAGTTTGCTGAAGATATGAGAGGGGCAATGAGAGACACTCCTGGGGTATAGTGTTCAGCAACTCCTCCATGGCAGATATCCAGGTGTAAACATGTGTTAATAAGACATATTTCTTAAAGATACTAACCTCTGCTGTGCCTCGATCTTCCCAACGGAGACACAACCTTGGGTGAACACTTGAAGCCCCAGGAATCTCTTACAGCTCATGGGGATTGGAGTGGCGTGTAGCACTGGTGTTAGATGTGGGATCTGTGTTTGCCCAAGAGCAAAAGTGAATGGTAGTGTGCATGCAGCTGAAGAACTATTGCTTTAAAGTGATTGAATATACACTAGCAAAAGTGGAAACTCAGCAGAGAGCTCTTCATTTTTCTCCCTCTTTAAAACTTTGCCTTTAGCCTACTTTGTCCCACCTCACTGGGGTGGCCAATGTTTATTGATCACTTTGTAGACAAAATGGCACCTTTCTCTGAGATTATCCTATAAAAACTGCCAGGCCTTTTTTTTTATGGCTCATAACAGATCATAAGAGTTTATAAGCATTTCAGTGCTCACATTCCCTTTATTGCAAAAGTTCAGAGTCAAGTGCCGATCCTTATATAGCCACATGACAACACCCAGACACAAGAAAGCAGGCGTTGTATCCCCAAACAAGTTCGGAGGAACCCCATTGTTTGCAGAAATACAAAAATATTGGGGGGTGCAGAAATCCTAAATTGAGGGAGCTCCCCGCCCCCAAATACTTCCCAGTTAGGACTGAATGTACTCATTGATCAGCCTCCTTGGAGGGTTAGTAGAGGCTGGTCCGTTGGCATGCAGAGCACTGCCTCCACCAATCTCACCATGCCCTCAGCCAGCCCCCAACCTACCTGCCTTCTTACTTGCTGTCAGTCTATGCCAGGGGAAGACGGAAGTTTTTAAACTCACAAGTGTATATATAAAGGTCTAACAGCCTATATTTTCATGCTTTACTTTGCTGCATGTGCTGTGATTTTTAAATCTCTGCTGGGGTTCTTTCACCAAAGAGTACAATTTATTTTTGCTCCTGTGGGAGGAGAAGGTAAAGGTAAAGGGACCCCTTACCATTAGGTCCAGTCGTGACCGACTCTGGGGTTGCAGCGCTCATCTCGCTTTATTGGCCGAGGGAGCCGGCGTACAGCTTCCGGGTCATGTGGCCAGCATGACTAAGCCGCTTCTGGCGAACCAGAACCAGAAATGCCATTTACCTTCCCGCCGGAGCAGTACCTATTTATCTACTTGCACTTTGACGTGGTGTGGTGTAGTGGTTAAGAGCGGTAGTCTCGTAATCTGGGGAACCGGGTTCGCGTCTCTGCGTCTCCGCTCCTCCGCTCCTCCACATGCAGCTGCTGGGTGACCTTGGACCTTGGGCCAGTCACACTTCTTTGAAGTCTCTCAGCCCCACTCACCTCACAGAGTGTTTGTTGTGGGGGAGGAAGGGAAAGGAGAATGTTAGCCGCTTTGAGACTCCTGAAGGGGAGTGAAAGGCGGGATATCAAATCCAAACTCTTCTTCTTCTTCTTCTTTTGAACTGCTAGGTTGGCAGGAGCAGGGACCGAGCAACAGGAGCTCACCCCATTGTGGGGATTCGAACCGCCAACCTTCTGATCAGCAAGTGTCCTAGGCTCTGTGGTTTAACCCACAGCGCCACCCAGAGAAAGGAGGAGAAAGGTGGAGCCAAATTACTCCCTCACTTTCCTATGTCTCTCTCTCATTACCAGCATCTCCAGGTAAAGATTGGGAGAAACCCTTGCCTAAAACCCTGGAGAGCCATTGGCAGTCAGAGTAGAGAAGACTGGACTATATGTTTTTTTGTTTTGTTTTTGTTTTTTTGCTGCTCAGGTGGAAAACTGGGGGCTTTCTGATTTCCCCTCAGCTTCCTTTTTTAATTTTTTTAAATTTTTTTAAAAATGATATTTATTAAGAATTTAAAATTACAGAAAAAAGGAAAAAGAAAAGAAAGAAAAAAGAAATTAAACAATACAAGTCAATAAAAAGAAAAAAGAGTACAAAACACACAATACATCAAAATCAAAAACAAAAGCCAAAAGAATTAAAAACAAATCCAATATTCCCATATCTTTATCTTTCATTAACTTGTTTCATCGACCTCCTCACACCTCCCTTTTTGGTATTCTAATTATTAATTATCTCAGCAAATCCTTTCCATCTTTCACTATATTCTGTCCTTTGGTTATCTTAATTTATTTTAACCTTATCTTACTATAAAAAGCCCTAAAACTTAAAAACTTATTTGTACATAACTCCTTATAGCATTTCTACTAAAGCCAAATAGTTTCATTCCAACATTTTTCTAACACTCATTAATTTTACAATATTTCTCTAAATGAATTTTTAAACTTTCTTCCAATCTTCATCCACCGTCTCTTCTTCCTGGTCTCGGGTTCTGTCAGTCCTTTCTGTCTATTCCATCTAGTCCATCAACCTGGTGATCTTCTGTCCGAGGCTCTTAACTCTTTTCCATGTCCCTTCTGCAAATCTTCTTCATATTTATACCTGCACTTTAATTTGTCTTCTGCTGATCTTGTTCTTAATTTCCTGCCTTTGTCACTAAGGAGTAGATCTCAGGGAGACTCCAACCTAACAATGTCTTTATCCCTTCTCGACAGGTCAGCCCATTCTCCATGGTCAGCACTAAAATCCAAAAGATATTTCAAAGCATGCTTCAATATCCCTCCAAAGTTAAAGGCCCCCACAACTCCAGTCTCCCCCTGGCCCAAAACCAGATCCCAAAAGCCAGCACATCCCTGCATAGGGGGATCTATCCAACTTTCCATCTCCAATCCAAACGGGACTCCATCTCTCCAAGTCTGGCTCACTCCAGATTCAGTCATCAGAAACAACAACTTATGTTCCTGCGAGGCCGCGGCTCTCTCCACTTGTATTGCTTGAGGTTCAACAACAACCTCCTCCTTTGTCTTCTCCGCAGCTTGCCCTGTCAAAGCAGATTCCTGGGTCAGTTCCTGAGAAGGTTCTGTATAAGTGTTCACTGTTTGTCCAAAATTATCAATTGCAGTAGTCATCAAATCCATCTTCTCATGAAGCTGTTCCAATAAGGCACTTGTTTTGCAAAAAGCAATCACTAAGGCTTCTTCTGTTCAAGGTCTTGTTCAAGGTCAATGTCTAGTTCTCACGATCTTTAATCTCTACAGCTGTAGAGTTCCCCAGGTGCACTCCAACAACAGTTTCAAAGGCTCCCTCTAGGGGAAACAATTTCTATTTGTATCCGTCCTTTTAAAAGCAGATCCAGCAACAAAATTACTTTTGTTTTTCAAATATTTTGTTCCTTTTAAGTGCAAAAGGAAACATTGGAATCAATATGTTTCTCTTATTTAACTATCTGTCAACGTACGTTTTATTCACAGTCAATGAACTTTCCCAAAACGTCTGTCTTCTTGGCAGCCCGTTCCCAGGTTCAAGACGGTAGAAATTTATCTTTCTTTACTCTCTCTCCTGCAGACTTGAACAATCTAAGATTTCCCCCCTCTTCTCCTGCTTCCAAGGGGGGTTTAGTAGTTTTAGCCGATGGAGATTTAATCCTTTACAAAAAAACTTTCCAGACTTTAGCTTGCAATGTCTTTGCTTCAATCTATTTACAAAAGCGGAAGGCGGACTTCCTGTTTAGAACCGTCCCACTTCCGTGCCAAATTAAGATGTTTGGTAATCCAATTTTCCGTTCTACTCAAGGGTAGTTGTTTAAAGTCCAATTGTCCACAGGAAACAGTCAGTGCTCTCCGGCAACAGCAATGCGGCTCCACTCCGTGAAAAGAGCAGTCGATTCGAAGCACGCGCTGCTCACCCCACGTCGCTCCGGATCCCTGAAACCGGGTTTCGCCGCGAGTAGGGGAGGCGCAAACGGTGCCAGCCGAATCCCACGTCCACAGGCTTCACCCGCCTGTGGTTTTTAGTGGGTCTCCGCCTCGCCGTGGCGGTCCAGACCCTAATTTCCACGAAGCGGATTCCTCCCGATCAGAGGAAATCCGCCATTGCCGGAGGGGCTAACCCGGAAGTCCTGGGAAGACTGGACTATATGCACCAGCCATCTGACTTGGGATTAGGCAGTTACCTATATTTCAGTCTCGGCAGCCTACTTTGTGTATCTGACAAACTGGGCTCTTGTCTATGCAAATGTTTGCCACAGAGAATGTGTTGGTCTCTTAAGGGGTCTCAGGGGTTTTGGCTGTTTTTGCTACAAGAGGCTAATTTAACTGGGCCACTCTCTCTCCTCTTTTCCTTCTCTCCATACTCAGTAGGTGCCAGATGTAAGAGAGATGTACCTATAGATGAAGATTTGTGGGAAACGACCCTCTATACAGAGAATGACTCAAGACATGTCTGCACTCCAAGCTGAAAGTAAGTCGCTGGTGTAGGTGTGGCAACTTCTTGGCATTGTCTTTTGCATGTGATGTGCAATAAACCTTTGGAACTCACAACCACAAGGTGTTGAGATGGCCGCTAACAAATATGGTTTTTAGGTAGAGGCAAATAGGTCAAGGTGGCATACACACTTCTCCTCCTGTTGCTTTTATTCTCACAACAACCCTGTGTGGTAAGTAAGGCTAAGAGTGTGTGACTGGGCCCAGGGTGACCCAGCAGGCTTCATGACTGAGTGAAGAAATGAACTCTGGTCTCCCATGTCCTAGTTTAGCATTCTAACCACTACATCACACTGGCTCTCAGAGAAGGGGTAGAGTTTTAAGGGGACAAAAGCTGGAGACAAGGGCAGCCACTGGGGTGATTATTAATGCTTCTCTGTATTAAAATCAATCCATCAATCCAGACCCCACAAATAAAAGGTCAGCACAGCAGGCAGAGAAGTTCCAGCTATATTGGATTTGGAACTGCAGGGAACATTCCAAAATGTGACCCTCTCCCTTCAGAGTGAAATGGTACAGCCATACTATTTCAGGTCTCTACTACCTCGTTCAGTGCTATGCTTACGTGTGTGTGTGTGTTGTTTTTAAGACCCTGCTTCTGAGCTTTCCTTTCCTTCTCTGTGCTAGAAGATCAAGACATGCAAAGGATGTGGAAAGATGTTGATGATGAGGAGACCTATTTGTTTGACTGTAGAAACTTCCCTGAAGAACCGTGTTGTGAACCCTGGAAGCGTGCAGAGATGGAGGCCAGAGAAGGATCAGCTCCTTCTGCCTCTACCGAAACTCCTGCACCAGACCTGCAAGACTCTGATTTCCTCCCTTCTGTTTCCCTTGCTGCCTTTTTGGCCCTCGTGTTTGTCTTTGTTTCCGTGATCCTGCTCCATCATGGTAACAGCCACTTATCCTTGGATGACTACAGGGCTGTGAGCCCCACCAAGAATCAATTGCCCCAAAGCCGGCTTGGACTCCTTCGCCTTCTCTTCCCAAACCAGCCAGAAACTACATGGCAGATTCTGCAGCAATACATATGTGGCCAGCTGGGAGGGACAAATCCTGACAAACCTTGGGTCCTGGTCACCGCTGGGCTGGGTGATGCAAGAAGCACACTTCTGTGCCTCACCAAAGCAACTCTTTCCCTCCTGACGGAGGAGAGTGCCGTGAAACTTCGGTATCTCGAGCAAAGTAGTGTCTGGCTTCCCTGGAGGGGCATCCTGGAAAATGGGACCTGTGATATCTCTGCTGCAGAGATTTATGTGGGGCAAAGTCTTGTACCTTACGGCATAATGGTGTCCACACGGAGCTCTGTGGATGGAAAACAGTTGGCCACCAAGATCAACCTTGCTGTGCTGCTGAATGGTATGAAACGAGCACGGGAAGAGTTCCTCCTCCAAGTCTTCACTCCCAGACTGGTGTCTGATATTTTGAATACTGTTCTCTTTGCTGATAGGGCAGTGGATAAATTGGTGGCTTCCAATGGGAGCTTCCTTGTCCTCCTGGTAAGGTCTGAACAGTATTTGGAAAGTGGTTTTGTTTGCTGAGGAGCAGGTGTCTGGAGCACCAACACTCAGAAGAGGACACCTTCCTGTCGATGTCTAGTGTGGCTGCAGAGTAACAGGAGAGTCTGGATGGCATGCATTAAAAAACAGAAGCCACTGTTCCTTGGGTTTTGAAGATTCTATAGGTTAAGAAACTTTCAACTTGAATTTTAGCATCAGGAGTACTACCCCAGTTCCAGTCAGCTGTATTCCTGGAAATAAACACACCCAGTATTGTCTACACTGACTGGCAGCAGCGGTCCAGATTTTAGGCTGGGTTCTCTCCCAGTCCTATGTGGAGATGTTGCAGGAGACGGATCCTGGCATCTTCTGCATACAAAACAGATACTCTGCCATTGAGCTGCAGCCAGCAAGCCAGGAGGATTATATGCATCCTGTTTGTCCAAAACACTGGCTGGCCACTCACAGCTGCTGAGCAGATGCCTATGGAAAACCCAGAAGCAGGACCTGGGTGCAACAGCACTCTTCAATTTCTAATTCTCAGCCATCCTGCCTCTGATAGAGCAGGTAGAACTGTTATAAAGCACTTTGGGTTGGAAAGGAGAAGAGGTTCTTCTTCTTCTTCTTCTTTTTGGCAACTGAAACAATGCACAGAGGTAATAAGACCAAGGACTACAGTTACCCAGCTGCACCACTAAACTAATAGTCTGAGGTATACTGCCTCTGCAACTGGAAGTTCCATTACAGTATATTATGGCCAATGGATAAAGGATGGTACCTCTGGAATTTGGGAAGGGAGTGGTTTGCCAATTGGCTTTGCCCATCCCAATGAGGGTGATTGGTTGTGGGGTGGGCTTGCTCCTTGTTGAGACACCAGAGCGGAGGGGAAAGGGGAGGGGGGCAGCATGTGTGTTAGCCTGGCTTCCAAATGAGAAGCAGAATGATGGGAGTTTTGTGTGTGATGAGAGCATGAAGGCAGTTCACAAACACATATCCAGAGTAATAAGAGGATATTTAGTATTTTGCCAGTCTCTTCATGCAGCACTGGGCAATGCGCTTCAACACTTCTTGTAAATCTTGCTTAGCCAGCTAATTTTTATGACCCCCCACAACATGACCTTTCTGAAGATAAATTTGAGGAGCAGTATGCTTTTACTTAAAAGGGACGCGGGTGGCGCTGTGGGTAAAAGCCTCAGCGCCTAGGACTTGCCGATCGAAAGGTCGGGGGTTCGAATCCCTGCGGCGGGGTGCGCTCCCGTCACTCGGTCCCAGCGCCTGCCAACCTAGCAGTTCAAAAGCACCCCCGGGTGCAAGTAGATAAATAGGGACTGCTTACTAGCGGGAAGGTAAACAGCATTCCGTGTGCTGCACTGGCTCGCCAGATGCAGCTTGTCACACTGGCCACGTGACCCGGAAGTGTCTGCGGACAGCGCTGGCTCCCGGCCTCTAGAGTGAGATGAGCACACAACCCTAGAGTCTGTCAAGACTGGCCCGTATGGGCAGGGGTACCTTTACCTTTTTATGCTTTTACTTGGGATGCGGGTGGCACTGTGGGTTAAACCACAGAGCCTAGGGCTTGCCGATCAGAAGGTCGGCAGTTCGAATCCCCGCGATGAGGTAAGCTCCTGTTGTTCGGTCCCAGCTCCTGCCAAACCTTGAAACCTTTGAAAGCACATCAAAGTGCAAGTACAGTGGTACATACGCTTCAGGTTACACACTCCGTTAACCCAGAAATAAGTGCTTCAGGTTATGAACTTTGCTTCAGGATAAGAACAGAAATCGGGCTCCGGCAGTGCGGCGGCAGCAGGAGGCCCCATTAGCTAAAGTGGTGCTTCAGGTTAAAAACAGTTTCAGGTTAAGAACGGACCTCCGGAACGAATTAAGTACTTAACCCGAGGTACCACTGTAGATAAATAGGTACTGCTCCTGCGGGAAGGTAAATGGCATTTTCGAGAGCTGCTCTGGTTCGCCAGAAGTGGCTTAGTCATGCTGGCCACATGACCTAGAAGCTGTACGCCGGCTCCCTTGGCCAATAAAGCGAGATGAGCACTGCAACCCCAGAGTCGTCCGCTAACAGTCAGGGGTCCCTTTACCTTTCATGCTTTTACTTAGCAGTCATTCAACTATAAATTAGCCCCTTTCATATAGGAGATGCTGGATCAGGCTGCCATTAGGCGTCTCGGCAAGCCATGCTCCTTCACCATTTTATATTGCTTTGATTCATTGTATTTTATTGTGTGTTTTCTTTCATATTAATATTCTCTTCATTGCTTGGGGGGGCTCTGCACACACAAAAGTAAACAGACCACAATATCACTTACAAATGCAGGAGATTTTTATTATTATTGTGGGATCACCTTATCTCCTATGTGCCCACTTAAGCACTGTTACTAGCTCCACAGAATACTTGTTCCACACTTGCAAATAGTCAAACTTTTACTGTGGCAGCACATACACTTTGGAACTCCTTGCCAATTGAAATCAGGTGAGAAACCTTTGTGGTATTCTTTTCGGTGCCTACTAAAAACATTTTAGTGTCGGAAAGCTGATGTGGGCATGTTGATGTTAACATGTTTTAATCTGTTGACTATTAGTTTCAATTATCTTTAAATGCTTTTGTTTTTAACTTTAAAAAAAAATGGGGGGGGGATGTATTGTTTAGAGGTTTTAGCACAATCAAGCAGTATATTAATGATGTTAAATAATACATTTACACCTGTTTCCACCATCAATGGACATGGTCCATTGCAATGTATAAGGGGGAAAGTTTTTGCCCTCCCACCAGGATTTAGAAGCTACAATTCAGTACTAGAAGGAGATGGTGGAAGGTGTTTGAGAATTGTGCTGGGATTTTAGGGCAAATGCTGCTCTGCCTCTTGGAGCGTGCCTTATTGTTCTCCCATGCTCCTAAACCAAGGTACCTAAAAATCAATGGCAGCAATGCTGAAAAATAGGTCAGCTTGGGGCTTCCTGACTTCCAAGGCAGCCCGAGGCTTTCCCTGCCGGCCTTCCACCAGTTCTCTCACCTTGGCTGCCAGGCCCTGGTAGTAAACAACAGCTGCTTACCAACCTGACAGAGGAGAATGCCAAGCTCAGCCTAAGGGACAAAGTCCCCTGAGAATGGGAGGAGGAGAGCGAACACCTTTGGTTTAGCAGCACCAGCAAAGGAAGCATCTTCCTGCCTAGGCTCTCTCTCTCTTCATTTTCGACCAGTTCAGATCCCGCTGCAAACCCACACTTGCTCACCAATCTTAAGAAAGAATAAGGGAGCAGAAGGAGAATGCATCAGACTTCTGGCAGGTGTGAAAAGCAACATTGTTCATGGATGGAATTGAGTTAGGATGAGGCCATACTGTCCACATCTCCTGCTTTTCAAGGCAAGGTAGGTTTTGGGTATTGTTTTTTTGCAGGGGTGGGTGGGTGTAGGACACAGGCAGCTGCCTTTATGCTATAGAGTCAGAGCATTGATCCTTCTACTGGCAGTGGCTCTACCACTATAGCACAAGCCTCTGTGTGCTTCCTCTGATAAGGCTATCAATGGCTACTAGCCATGAAACCTATGGTCTGTGCGCAAAGTTTCCCATGTATTTCTGGTTGGCTGCTGTGAGAAGAGGATGGGCTAGATTGCCATTGGCCTGATCCAGCAGGCTGTTCTGATGTGGATGTTTATCTTCCCATCCTTGCCTTATCAATTGCTTTGCAAGAGAAGGGCTTGCTTCCACTCTTAAACTTCATACTGCAAATTCCCTTGGGCGGAGGACCTCTCTCTTTGCATTTGCTGATGCTGTAAAAGCTAGGTGTTGGGGACCTTTGTCCCCCCCACCCCCACCAATGCTGAAGAACTACAACTCCCATCAGCCTCAGCAAGCACGGCCCTATGGCAAGCCAATCGTTGCATCTCATGGGCCAAAGGTTCCACTGCATTGATGCTGCTGTATGTTTACTGTCACTGAGCTTCCACCTGCCCTTGTTTTTTTAGTCTCCTAGGTAGCAAAGAAGGCTGTGTTGCTGATTGGGTCTCCCCATGGCTGAGAAGGAGGTCCAGGGGCTGGAGGCCGAATGCCCCATCTGCTGGAACCCATACGACAACACTTTCCGCACCCCCAAGGTCCTTCAGTGCCAACATTCCTTCTGCATTGAGTGCCTGGCTCATCTCAGCTTGGTGTCCCTGGCTCAGAACCGCTTGCAGTGCCCACTCTGCCGCCACCCTACCGTCCTCCCCTCTGACCAGCCTGTCACTGAGCTGCCCACCAATGAGGCCATCCTGCGCCTGCTGCGCCTGGAGCCCAACCACATCATCCTGGAGGGCCGGCAACTGTGCTTGAAGGAGCAGCGCAAGAGCAGGTACTTCCTCCGCCAGCCCAGGGTCTACACCTTGGACCTGGGCCCAGTGACAGACCCCAGCATTGACAGCTACCGTGAGCAAAGCCGCCCGGCAAGCACTACCACTGCCGCCACAACCCTGCCCAACCACCACCGCTCCCCAATGTGGGCGTGTGCCTGCAATCCCCAGCTCCGGATTTTCACCTACTTGATGGCTGTCATCTTAAGTGTGACTTTACTACTCATCTTCTCTATCTTTTGGACCAGGCAGTTCTTTTGGGGGTGGGGGTGACAGGGACCAGCAGCCTCCTCAGGTGGAAGATGCCGGGAGCAGGGTAGAGGTGGTTGACAAGCAGCAGCAAAGTGTTGGGAGGACTAGCTTGCGTGTGCCACACAACCTGCCTTGAGTTCTCTAAGTCAGCTCAAGTGTGCTGGAAGACATCGCCCAGAATTATGATTTAATACTCAAAGCTCTGTCAGATTCTGCCTATCGAACGAGAGAGAGGCTGCCAATTGTCGTTCGCCCCAGACAGCAAAATGGTTTGGACTGCCAGTGGGTCCCAGGACTTTACCTTGAGGGTTACTTGTGAGCTTTAAAATAAGGATGCGGATGAGGACATGACAGGGCAGTGGGAGCATTTCAACAAACTCACTGCTTCTTAAGTTGGCTAAAGTGGGTAAGAGGGTGAAAATGGATAATGGGAACATAGAAGGTGTGGAGAGGAGAGCTTTTCTCATTCCAGATGTTGCTGAACTACAATTCCCATCATCTCTGGTCATGATGGGAGCTGTAACAACCACGTCTGGAGGACCCAAGCTTCCCCATACTTGGAGTAAAAGGACATAGGAATCTGCCTTAAGTCAAGCCATTGGTCCATCTAGCTCCATATTGTCTACACTGAGTGGCAGCTCTCCAGGGTTTCAGGCAGTGGCCTGTCTCTCTTATTCCTACCTGGAGATTCTGGGGATTGAACCTGGAAGCTTCTGCATGTAAGACTCTACCACTGAGCTATGCCGACCCTCCAAACCGGACTCTTCCCCTGTGCCAAATGCCTCTGCTGCAGCCAATGAAGAGTTCCCAACATCCAGAGAACACTGACTGCACTGCTGAATGTGGAACCACCGAGGCTGCAGATCATCACTGTTCTCTGTCCAGGCTTGGAGATGGTCTCCTCTGTGTACTCAAGTCATGCAGGCACAAAAATGAAGGCAGGTGCTCAACGTTTTCTCTCTCTCCTGGTGTATGCACTAACGGTTAGAGAGCCAAATGGCAGTGACATTAAAACTTTTGTATCTATGCTGCAGTGTTTTGTTTCAAATTGCATCAGCTTGTAAGAGTGGGGGCTGATAATAGGATCAAAGCAATCTTTTGGGTCTTGCAAGGAGGTAGGTTTAGCATGGACAGGGTGGATTGGGAAAGGGACACACAAAATGAACATTAGTGGGGTGGCTGCAGCGCCTTTCCCTACAAGGAAATGCCAATTCAGGGGTGGAAAATCTTTTTTCCAACCCAATTACCTCATTCCATTCTGGGCAACCTTCTGAGCGCCACATGCCGGTGGTAGGTGGGGTGAGGCAAAAGTGAGTAGGGCAGCTAATGTAAATGTTACCTCTGTGCAGCAGGCCAGTTTCCATATCCACACACACCCTTCCATATCCTCCATCTAGGCAAGCAAGAAGTATTATCAGAGTGAAAGGACATATTCCTGCCAGGCAAAAACTCTCAGGGAGGATGTGAAACATGGTTTGCGGAGGGTTGTGGCCAGGGGAGAGTCCTGAGGGCCAGGCAAGGAAGCCTGGAGGGTCACATCTGGCTTAGGGGGCCTGTGGTTTCACCAATCCTGGGCTAATGATCTTTAAGGTCCCTACCAACTTGATGATTCCATGAATGCAGGAGTGATAACAGGAAAGCTGAGCACTGAGGGGTGGGGCAGGGGAGGCACCCCATCACCAGAGGCTGTTTGGCTCAAGAAACAATGTGTCAAAAACACAACCCACACAGGCTTCACCATTTTCAAGCAGCCACTCTGCTTTAATGTTAGGGTGTCGTTTTTCAAGAAAAGTCTCTGTCCGAGTGAAAAGCTGTGACCCCACTCCCAAATAACAACCAGAACAACCCACCCCACCAGCTCTGCTAGCACCATGGGTATTCTTAAAGGCTGGTGGTGTTGGATCAATGCAAGCCCATTCCACACGGAAGGGACGGGAGAGTACACAACTACAGCAAAATGCAATAGGAAAGGTGTTCTCAAACTCAGCTTGGCCTGACCAGAGGGTGTGCAGGTGTGAGGAGGAGGCAGTATCCCAGAAGCGCATTAAGCCACGCCCTGAACTGTGGCGGAGGCCCAGGGAGTCACAGCAGGCTGCCTTCCTTGGCTGTGGATCCGGCAGAAATGCTCTTTCCCCCTACTCTGCCATCCAAAGCTTGAAAGTCCTGTCATAAGAGCATGTGGCGATCAGCTGCCCGTCCAGGGAGATGTCCAAGCCCATGACTTTGCCCTCGTGTCCTGCCAAGGTTTTCAGCGGGGATGAGCCTGGGTGCGTCCAGACCTTGGCTGTGTTGTCGTAAGCGCCAGTAAGCAGGAAGTTGCCATGATTTGCTGGGTGGCGGGAAAGAGAAAAATAACAGGATGTAAAGAGGACTAAGGAGGCAATATAGAGATTCACCACTTACAGCAGGGGTGAGGAACTACAACTCCCATCGTCCATGACCATTAGCTATGCTGGCTGGGGCTGATGGGAGTTGGGAGTCCAATAACCTCCAGAGTGCTACCAGTTTCCCCAAAGCCTTACCCAGAAGCCAACCATAAGCAGGGAACAGGGGGGATGCAGGAAGAGGGAGGGCGAGTGACAGAGCATACAGGCTATTCTCAAGAGCCAAGGGCTATTCTCAGTGTATTTGGGGAGGATGGGGAGCGGTATATATCTATGTCTTGGGAATCTATGTTGCACATGGAAACCATAGACAAGGTACTTTTCAGCCCATTATATATTCTCAGTTTCTGGGGAAAGGCCTTAGCAGCTGCAGAGACTTACGTTCAAACTTCACTCCGGTCACCAGGTTCTGATGGGCAGGGATGGTGTAGATGCACTTTCTCTGGCGGAGATCCCACACTTTACAGGTGTTGTCACCGCTGCCAGTGGCAATGTGGTACCTATGAGAAGTACGGGAGTGGAGGAATTTGAGTTTGCTTGCAAGGGGGTTGTTCCCAGTTTCAGCTCTATTCATAATCCTACATGATTATGAAAAAGCTTTAATAAAATATATTGGGGGAGGGGGGAAGGCTATTTACCCAGCATACATTTAAAGCACACGGCTTCTGCCAAAGAATCCTGGGAACTGTAGTTTACTAAGGGTATAGGGAATTATAAGCTCTGTGAGGGGAAAACTAAAGTTCCCAGGATGATTTGGGGTGGGAAATGTGCTTTGAATATATAGTGTGCATGCAGACTAAATTAGTTCCATTAATTTCAATTAATCTACTCCGAGCAGAAGTTAGTTGTCTGTGTGTCAATATTAAGACCTGCACCCCAAGAGGGGATGGCAAATTGGTTCTTACCCGTTAGGGGAAAAGTTGATCCCATAGATCTCCTTGAGATGACCCTCCAAAAACATGATACAACGCCCCGTGCGCAGATCCCACACGCGGCCAAATGCATCAAGGCCACTGAAAGGAAGAGGAAAATATCAAACAATCTTTTTCTCACATAAACCCCTTCCCGTGCTTCCACTCTGAATAAGAGGCTTCACTTAAAGCCATCTTTGGATCTTCTTTCCTCTTTAGTTGTCACCTAGGCTGGATGCCTCTTAACATCACTAAACAGGAGCCAAAGGAGCTTCTGTGAACCACAGTTGTTAAACTGGAGCAAAGCCTTTCTGCAATACAGCTTGGATTGCCTCCCATGTTACTACCACCTCCTGTCTGCAGATCCAAGGTTTTGCAAGCAGGACCCAGATCTGACCTACCTGGCAAATCACATGTAGCAAAGCCTAATTAGCACACTTTGTTTGTATAGATTTAGAATATCTATAATGCACTTAAATCAAAAAGTTATCTAAGAGGAGTACAAAAACTGTAAGTGAAACATAGCTAAAATATACAAAACAATTAAAAAGCAAATATACATAAAAGCCATTGGCATTATAAACGCACATAAAAATAAGCAGAACTTTAAAAACAAAGTAACTAAATTATGCACCTGGGTAGGCTTGTCAAACCAAAAAAAAAAAAAAGATTCAGCAGGTGCCTAGAACTATATAGCTTGCTTAATGTCAATAGGCAGGGAGTTCCAAAGCATAGTTATGTGACAATGAAGGATCGACTCAATTACAAACAGGCTAAAGCAAGAGCTGCCCAGATCAGAATTTGCAAATTAGGAACAATGATGGGGCAAATCTTAATATTACCCTAAATAGTTGAAACTTTTATTTTAATGAGTAGTATAAACTCAGGAATACAGTCAAACTATTAGGAACGAAGGAAGTTTCCTTGAAATGAGTCAGAACATTGGTCCATCTAATTCAGTAGTGTCTACACTGACTGGCAGCTGCTCTCCAGGATTATAGATAGGAAGATAATCATTGGGGATTGAAGCTGTGACTTTCTCCACGCAGAGCAGATGCTCTTATCAAAGCTATGGCCCCTCCCTCATTCGAATTTCCAGCCTGTGACTTTTTAGCTCCAGGAGCGAAGACTTGTGTGGGATCTTCTGTTGGTCCTAACCAGTTCTCTCTCTTTTCTGGCATTTTAGAACTAGCAGGAATGAGCATCATTACTGACTGGCTGATACTCGCTCAGTGACACCCCCAGGGAGGGTTAGGACTTGCATGTAGATTTACCCAGTGGCAGAAAGGGAGCCATCAACATGGAAGGCGATGTCGTAAACTCCTTTGCTGTGCCCCTCCTGGTGCAAGATCTCCTCCTGAGCCTCCAGGTCCCACAGGCGCCAAGAGTGGTCATAGCTGCAGCGGGGGGGGGGGGGGGGGAGAGAGGTGGAGAAGAGACAAAGACCCACGTGAGTATCTCACAAGGCCCCAACAGGTCATCCCCCCCCCCCGAAGTTCAAGCAGGTGGCTGGATTGTCTATCCTGATCTCCACTCCAAGATGAGACCATGGAATTAATCTAATCTGCCCCTGGCCCCCACAAACTGAGACGATCAGCCAACTGATACAGGGATATGAGGAGCATTTAGGACACATAATTCAATTCCCTGCTCAGTTGCCAATCTCACTGAGGAAGTATTGGGATCTTCAACTGCGGCTCCCTCCCATTCCGACCTCTCACTTTCCAGTGTTGTGTAATGAGTGCTGGGCTGAATGGAAAGAAGTGACATATCACAAGGGGATATGTTTTTCTATCGAGGGCAGAATTCTTTTGAAGGTAACCCATGGCGGTGGCATTGCCAGTGGTGGCGAGACTACTAACAATGGAAGGCACTCCCTTTTCTTCTTTTCTGCCGCTCTCTGCTCTTCCTCTCCCTCCATCACATCATTTCCCTATTTATTCTCCTCCTTGCTACCCATAAGAAATTAGACCAGGTGCCACGTGTGACCCTTTGGGCCGCACCCCCTCCTCTGACTTACCAGGTGGTGCCCAGAAACCTGCCAGAGGGATGCCATGCCACCCGGGCTACTCTCACTGTGTGTCCCTCGATGTCAGCCACTGGTTCATCACTGAAAGAAACACAACATCTCATGGCAAATTCTTGATGGCGCTGGCTGTTCCATAAGTGAGACTAAAATAAAGAGGCAGTTTGGAAAACACAAGAAGTACCAACAGTGGAAGATTGGCAGATGAAGATGATGGACTTTTCGGAGCTAGCCAACCTGACTGGAAGAGTCCGTGACCAGAAGGAGGAGGATTACCAGGAAATTTAAAGACTATTTAGTTAAATATGTTAAGTTAACTTAATTGGAAAAACTTGCAAATAT